TATCCTATAGCATTCAGGGATAATATAACTTTATACCTAATAGTGAAATCATTTTTAAAATCGGACCGACAGAACTTAAGATTACCTCAAACAAACATGCAATTTTTACCTCTTTATAATATTAGCATAGATCTAACTAGATCCCTATGCAATGCAACATCTTAGTTCTCTTGAATGGCAGCGCATGAGGGCTACCACGGACATAACATAGTAGCTGTACAGAAAAATTGTAATGCCCAATTTACACTCAGCCCGAGTGGGCAGGGAAGTGAGCAGCGCGAGAGTGGAAACACTTCCCATGCCATTGGCTCTGCCACTCGCGCTGCCCGGCGCTCCCTCGACTGTCGTTTTTTCGTGCGCGATTCAAAGGACTGGCAGCGTGTACATTCAGCCCTCTCGCTCAGTTGTCGCCCGGCAATATTTCCGGCAGCGCGAGTGGCAGGGGAAACTGCTGAATGTAAACGTAGCATAAAATAAATAGAAATAATAAATGCGTGCTCCATAATATTGAACGGCAGTGTACAGTAATTGAAAGTTAATTATATACGCAATAACCTCTATGCAACCGGCAGTTCATTCGCGAATGTGTCACGCAGCGAACGCGTTCGATATTCAAATACTTGTTTATTTAAATGAGTGACCGTTCTGTTATCTCATAATAGATATAAATATTAATTCTGTATCCTTTATTGTGGTCGAAAGTGTACTATTTGTAGAACTGTACTTGCGTTGCTTAGAACGAATTTTTTTATCGAAATTCTGTAATATTTTTTTATTTGCAAGCTATTGTATGTATAATTGTATCTTATATATAAAATTCTCGTGTCACAGTTTTCGTTCCCATACTCCTCCGAAACGGCTTGACCGATTCTCATGAAATTTTGTGAGCGTATTGAGTAGGTCTGAGAATCGGCCAACATCTATTTTTCATCCCCCTAAATGTTCGGCTACCCCTGGTTAGAAAAAATTTTTAGTTTCTATTTTTTTATGATATAACATAATTTTTTTTTTTAATATTCAAGTGTATTTTTTATGTCTGATACTTTAAATAACATTCTAACTGTATTTGTGTGTCTTTTTAGATTTTATTTTATTTGTAAGATTGTGTCTCTTAAATAGTCCCATATAAAGATAAAGTATATCATTGATAATGCGATAGAAATTTGTTTTTTTTTTTAGAAGAAAAGATGTTTTTTGTGGCTTATGATTGGTTATGTTCGGGAATGAACATATGCCATCCTACATCTAAAATCTATATTGTATAATATATTTTATGTTCGCTTTAGTCGTGTAAAGGTAACAAACAGATAGACAGAAAAAAAATCGCTTTTTTAATATACATATATTATATATATACTCATTTTTAAACTTTAGTAGACCTTATTAATATACTTACATGAATTTTTTTGTGGTAAATTAAGTTTATGGTAAAAACAAAGTATTTACCTCTCTTGAGGTTTCTCAGTGGTCACGTGCTGAACTTATTCGAAACGTCAAGAGATGTAAATATCTTTATTTACCATAAAATGATTCATAGATTAATTATAACACAGAAGCATTAAAATAAATCATTAACATTACAAATGAGATAAGGCTCGTCCCAATTTCCTAACTTCACACAATTCTATATCTAATAATATGTATCGACCTATCCATCTGTATGTATACATGCATTATGACAGCCTCGGTGGTCTAGTGGTTTAGCACACTGCTTTAATTCGATGGTCGGGGTTGGATTCCAATATTTATATTCATGAGTATAATTGTTTGTATTGGTCTGGGTATTTTCCATGTATATTATGTATGTGTTTAGAAAAAACGTATTTAAACAATGTATAAATTGACTAGTACCCATAAGGTTTGCTTAGCTTGGGACTAGATGGCGCTGTGTGAATTGTAAATACGTATAAATTACAATTATTAAAGATTTTTATTAAAAGTCGTTGTTTCCGCTCCAGTCCACACCCCTTTTCTACCCATACAAATATTCACAATTATATATAACATTTTCATTTTAATGTTCTCTTCATTTCTATGTATTACACTCACATACCCATACATATTTTCAATTCAAGGTCATACAAATATTAAAACTATAATTTCCTATAAATAAAGAAATAAAAAAAACAAAATGGCCGCCAAATCAACCGATCCGGAACTCCCGCTCTCCGATTCGGAAATGGAGAAGCATATGAAGGACTTAGAGAATATACAAACTGAGGAAGAATTTAACAAGAAGATGGATAGCATGTCCAAGTTCGGTTTCTCCATCAGCAATTGGATGAAGATACTGTTCAATCGTGACAATTCAAAGGAGAAATTCCATGCTGTTTGGTTGAGTGTAAGTTTTTTTTATGGATGACCAACTGTTACTCTCGGTTTCGTCTGCCTTTTTAAGATAATTGATTACGTATATCCGTGCTATGTTATAATTATATCTAATAACTAGCGGTACCTGCGACTTCGTTCGCATGGAATTTAACTTTATTTTTCTAAAATAAAAGTAGCCTAAGTTACTCCTTTACATTAGATATCTGCCAATAAAAGTCCCGTCAAAATCGGTCCAGCCGCAATCATCGGAAGTAAGGCGGTGTGCTCAACCTATTTACAGCTTTAACGGCGTTCTTAACTAATGTAACTATCCGAACAAGACGATAAGGATAGTGTTAAAGAAAATAAAAAACAATGACATGCTTAAGTTTATTAATAACATTACTATAATAATCAACATATTTCAAATATTATTAATTTCAAATGGGAATTGTTAGTAATGTGGACTGATGATCTCATTGCTAGCAATGTACCATGTCTGGTTGACCTCCACGCGGTTCCCCCTGGAAACCATCCTACATCTAAAATCTATATTGTATAATATATTTTATGTTCGCTTTAGTCGTGTAAAGGTAACAAATAGATAGACAGAAAAAATCGTGATAAATTCTTGGTGAATTTGTCACTATGGGCTAACTGACCTGACCTCATACTCATCTTATCATCCTCCACTGGTGTCCCACTAGCATAATCCATTAGCGCAGGCGAGTACACCATTCTATTATCATCCATAAAAAAAATCGTTATTACATTCCTATTCATCAGAATGCGCTAACCTTCCAACAATATTATTATTTTTTATTTTTTGTGGATTTTTTTTTATTCCGCTACAATTACATTTGTGACACCACAAATATTTGGTGTGGAAACTTGACTACCGTTACGATCTTCTCTATATCATCTGCTTCTTCCTTATCCTATTTATTTGTTTGGTCGTCGTAATATGTTTTTCTCTTCCATTCATCCCTGTTCGCAGTCATATCGTTATTCACTCCCTTTCTTACCATATCATCTTTCACACAGTCCATCTATCTTTTCCGGTCTTCCTCTGCCCTTACGTTACGACCTTATCTAATGGTGATCGAATTCCGACCGTTATTGAGTCTACATATTGCGACACGTGTTTCGCCTCTAAACGAGGCATCATTTCACTGATCGGTTTAGTACTTTTTGCGTGAAAGCCTAACAAACATCCCTACTTTCACGTTTATAATATTAGTATGGGTAAGATTTAAATTCGTTTATCTATGCATTATTGATATCAGTGATTATTGTATTAATATTGCAATATAATCCCAATTCAATATTGATAATCAATAACAATGCAATGTCAATTTACCAAAGTCTAAAATTATTGAAGTTGCTAATACGCTACGGCTTTCCTGACTTAAAGTATCTCGATATTTAAAAAAAAACAATCGCCTAGTGCAAAGGTCTTCAACCCGCGGCCCGCGGGACGCTTGCGGCCCGATTATTTTTCTGCGGCCCGTCAATAGCCCGCTCTCAGTAATGATAAAAATTAAGTAATAAAAAGTACCTTTAATATAAAATTAAAAGATCCTCATAAAAATACCTGTGGTGTGGCCCACTGTACAGATTTTACATTTTTTTTGGCCCTTGATTTGTAGAACGTTGGAGACCGCTGGCCTAGTGGTTTGCACACCGTTTTATTTCCGATGGTCGCAGGTTCGATTCCTCGCACGGTAATAACATTTGTACTCATGAGTAGCACATACGATCGATCCCCCGTCCAATTCAAACGGGGATCGAAATTACGACGGTCGATTATTTTATGTTAATAATATTATAAACGCGAAAGTTTGTGAATAATGTTCTGATTTAATTATGTTTATAACTATGTTTGTAAACAGCCTTGGTTTTCCGAAAATAAATAAATAAATAAATAAATATGGATGAATGTTTGTTACTGTTTCAAGTCAAAACTACCGAACGAATTTTAATGAAACTTTACAGTAATATAGCTTATGCATCAGAATAACATGTCATTATTATCATTACATAGTCTAAAACAAAGTCGCTGTCGCTGTCTGTCCGTCCCTATGTATGCTTAAATGTTTAAAACTACGCAACGGATTTTGAAGCGGTTTTTTTAGTAGATAGAATGATTCAAGAGGAAGGTTTATATATATGCAATACATGTACACCCGCGCGAATCCGGGGTGGGTAGCTATTAGGCTATAATTTAATGCGGATGAAACAGCGGCCACAGCTGGTTATTACATAATAATATGTACGTTAGTCTATAAGATTTTAGTAACATGGCCCATGTATAATAATATAATAATTATATATTATTATTATTATTATTTTATATATATATATATTATATATCTCCCATAGATGGGGCAATAGACTGATCATTGCGGGTAAAAATCACCAAACAATGACAGTATAAATTATGAATGAGGATGAATAATTTTTAAGTGGAAGACAAAAATTTGCGGACTATTCTACAAGTGTTTAATATTACAGCTTTTTGGAGAAGGATGAAAGTAAGTGGGTGAAGTTGTAATATCTTGAGGCTAGTGTGTAGGGATGTTGGGATGACACCTGTGGACGAGATAATAATTGGGAGAGTTTTCACTGTTTCTAACTGCCATTGTATTTTTAGTTCTATTATTATTATTATTATTATATTTTGTTAACAGATCGATGAATACAAGTCGCAGGCCGAGGAGAGTATGCAGAATGCATGGCGTATCATCAACTCCCCCAATTGGTCGGTGGAGAAACGCAACAAGGGCGATATTGTTGAGTCCAAGCGCACCGAACAGTTCGGAAAGGTGTACAGGTTCACTGTGAGTTTATTTATTGTTACTTCATAAATAATAATAAAAAAGAATTAAATAAACTTCAACCCCCCCCCCCCCCCCGGTACCCCTCCCCCCTCCCCCCAAGGCCTTCTTTTACGACTACTGACTTATAAGTCAGTAAAGAAACTAGTGGTACCCGCAGTTTCGGCTGCTTTAAATTTCTATAAAAATATAGCCTAAATGTCATTCTGATGCATAAGCTATATTACTGTAAAGCTTCATTAAAATTTGTTCAGTAGTTTTTAGATGAAAGAATAACAAACACCCATTCTCACAAACTTTCATGTTTCTAATATTACTAGCTATCCCGGCTTCGCACGGGTGTACATGTGTTAATTACTCTATTTATTTAAAAAAATCCGCTTCAAAATCCGCTGCGTAGTTTTAAAGATTTAAGCATACATAGGGATGGACAGACAGCGAGTTTGTTTTATACTATGTAGTGATTAAGATTAATATTGGCGTATTTTACAGGGCATAGTGGAGTGTCCACCGAAATTTCTGTACGAAGAATTCAGAGACAATATTACTAATCTCCCAAAATGGAATCCTACAATATTGAAGAGCGAAGTCATCAAGGTAAGATGTTATTTTACTAGCGATCCGACCAGGACTCGCACGGATGCATTACAAATCATTGAATTTCTCGGCTTGTTCTATACTATATCACGCATGTATTATACATATAAACCTTCCTCTTGAATCACTCTATCCAATGTTAAGAATTGCATTAAAATCCGTTGCGTAATTTGAAAGGTCTATGCGAACAAACAGCGGAAGTGATTTCATTTTTTACTATGTAAAGATCTTATCTATTATGTTTAAAAAGACTATAATAACCAATTTCCATCAGGTGGACTTTATGTTTATTTGCTTGCCATTTTTATATCTTAAATAAATCTTTACATAGTAAACAATTAAATCACTTCTACTGTCTGTTCGCATAGACCTTTCAAATTAAGCAACGGATTTTAATGCAGTTTTTAACATTGGATAGAGTGATTCAAGATTTTGTCTCTTATGTTTTAATATTTTTAAACATAATAGATAAGACAATAATAACCAATTTCCATCAGGTGGACTTTATGTTTGTTTGCTTGCCATCTTTTTATATCTTAAATAAATCTGTACATATTATGTTTTTAAAATATTAAAACATAATAGATAAAACAATAATGTAATGTTAGTTTTTGTTGAGAAACTTTTTTAATATTAATGTGTTTAAAGTTTATTTTTTGTATTCTGTAATCAAATTATAAAACATAATTATATGTCATCTCACTGATATGTCACTATATGACATATATGTCGTCTCACTGACTCTACCGGTAAAATGGAATAAATAATCTCAGGACAATTCACACAGCGCCATCTAGTTCCAAGTTAAGCTAGCTAAAGCTTTTGTTATGGGTACTAGATAATTGATACAAATACATAGATTTTTGTCGTAAATACATACCTACATAATATACATAGAAAAAACCCAGATTGATACCATCAATCATACTCATGAATACAAATGTTTGTGCAGAGCAAGGAATCGAATCCGCGACTCGGAAGTAAAGCGGCGTGCTAAAACGGTCATGAAGTCTTTAAACTTGTTAATGAACCCTCTTTTTTGCAGGAAATAGCACCAGGTATCGATATATCATACCAGGTGACGGAAGGCGGAGGTCGAGGTATGATAACACCCCGTGACTTCGTGATCCTCCGGAGGGCCGCGCCCCTCTCGAAGGACGGCAGGATCGTGGACGAGGACCCGTACAGTTACATCAGTAGTGGAGTCAGCGTTCAAGTGCCAGGGTTCCCACCCAACAGGGATCTAGTCAGGTTCGTAAGTAATAATAATTGTAAAAAAAAACAGCAAATGTAGCAAACATCAGGCAAATGATAATAATAATAAATCTATACATATAAATAAAATTGTAGTGTCTGTTTGTAATATTGAAATAACCGTTTTTTACTACATGCATATGAATACAAATACGGTACATACACCAAAATAACATGTTTTGCAACTTTTGTCTGTCTGTTTGTTCCGGCTAATCTCTGAAATGACTGGACCGATTTTGATGGGACTTTTATTGGCAGGTAGCTGATGTAATAAAGAGTAACTTAGGCTACTTTTATTTTAGTAAAATAAAGTTAAATTCCACACGAAGTCGCGGGTACAGCTAGTAGCTAGTATATAAATAAATAGTAATAATATTAAGAATTGAGATTACAAAATAGATAAATAATAATAATAATAACTGTGAAGAAGAGAAAATAATAAGGTAAACGTACGGTTACCGTAGACCAGTGATTGCCAAACTGATCTATATCGACCCCCAGGGGTCTATGACAAACTGCAAGGGGTCTACGACAGCGATCATCTTATTGTTTTAACACTAAACTTTACTACAGTTAGAAATTTACAAAAATCAATACCATGTAAGAATGGGGGGTCTACCCAAAACCGAAAAATATGGCAAGGGGTCTACGAAACAAAAAAGTTTGGGAACCTCTGCCGTAGCCTATGCACGCCTGAAATACCAGGGGTTACACGTGCGCGTTGCCGACCCCTAAGTAACATTGTCTGCATAAAATGTTTCCAGGGGTCACAATAAAGTGGGATGCTGGTACATGAAGCCGATCAACGTGAAGAGTTCCGGCGGCAAGATAGAAAAGCATACCAGCTTCCAGTGGCTCATGTGCTGCGATCTCAAAGGTAACATTCAGATTTCAGACTTTGGTTCGATTCCAGATTTATTGAACAAAGCCCGTATTGCGGGGCGATCTTAGATTTGCACTCTTTGTAACGATGCTCCTCCGAAACACTTGTAGAATAAAAAATATGACTGAATGTGTATTTGAATGAAGATTATTTCTATTTCTATTTATATTTATATTTATATTTATATTTATATTTATATTTATATTTATATTTATATTTATATTTATATTTATATTTATATTTATATTTATATTTATATTTATATTTATATTTATATTTATATTTATATTTATATTTATATTTATATTTATATTTATATTTCTACTTCTACTTCTACTTCTACTTCTACTTCAATTTCATTTATGTATGATTATTATTATTATTTGTTTCAGGAAAAATACCACCGTTCGTGCTTGACGCTGCGTTCGCATCAGTCATGTGTGACTATATTGTCCACGTGCGGAAGTACGCGGCCGTCTGTAGGGCTCAAGGAAAGTTCTAGACTGATAACCAAGCCCGTAACAAAGAAATCAATTTCAAGACGTGTCTATATTTGTACGGTCAGTACATTAAGAGGTTCTACAAATTTAGGATCTCATTCTCATCTCTCTGTAACAGAAAATTGTATTATAATTCTGTATTAAAGCTAATATTTAATATTCCAGCAATATGTCAGAGCATTATGATTGGACTTTTATAATTAATATTTATTGGATGTTGGAGTTTCTAGCTAGCGATAATTGATTTATTCCTGTTATTGACAGCTTATACCGCACTACTACAACTAAAAACGTTTTTAAATTGATTTGTCTTTTAGGAGTACACCCGTCGTGTGGTTATTTAGACGATGGAAGAGTGTCATTTTTTATGTTTGTAACATAAATATTGTATAATTATATTATATGTATAACGTGTATATTTGAATCCATAGCGAGCTAAGTTACAGCCGTTTCTCAGATTATTTCATTATCGTTGTTTCAAATACTCCGATTGTAGGTACGATAATTAAAATATTAATAAATCTAAAATATAAACTGAGTATATTTGAATCCAAATTGGTTAGGGAGCGAGCCTACAGTCGTTTCTCAGAATTTTTATTTTTATCATTATCGTTGTTTCAGCTACTCAGGTTGTAAGAAACAACGATAATCCAAATATTAGTAAATCTTAAATATGTTCTGTTTCTATTTCTCTGTTATTTTTTATTATCGTTGTTTTATAAACTCTAGTATAGGAAACAACGATAATCCAAATATAAATTGATACACAGTATTTTTTTGTGTCGGCAAGAACTCACGATCTTTTGAGTGTAAATAAGGTAATAACTGGCTAAGCCATGACTCTAATAAGACATGTATAATTATAATATTAAGATAATATAAATATAAACTTTCTTTTATATAAAATTACAGGATATTGAACCATGACATCTTAGTTCTCTGAAATGACAACGCATGATTGGCATCACGGGTGTCACATGATAACGTGATGATAGTGCTGTTCATGTATATAGGCGACGGTTACCACCTACCATCAGGTGGACCGTCAGCCTGTTTGCCTTTTCAATTACGTAAAAAAATGAAGTTACAAATATACGCATTTCTGAGAAGCATTTATGTAATTATAAATAAAAGTAATAAATAGTAGCTATGAAGTATTCCGATCACCCGTCAGTTATAAAACAAAAATAGGCATCATAATCAGTCATTAGTTTAGGAGATACGATGCCACAGACATACGCACAGAAGCATCAAACTAGTGAAGAATAAATTTTACCATGAACCATACCAATCACTTCAGCTTTAAAACAAAAATAGGCTTTATAATCGGTCCATTAGTTTAGAAGATACGATGTCACAGACATAGACGCGTCAAACTAATTAAATAATAAATTTTAGCTATGAATCATGCCGATCAGTCAGCTATCAAACAAAAATAGGCATCATAATCAGTCTATTAATTTAAGAGTTACGATCCCACAGACAAACACACACACGAACTGTCACTTTACTAGACTATAAGTGTTGAAAAAGAACAGAAAATTTCAATAGAGTCGCTTTATAGGTATACCTCTCTTTCTAGACTTATTTCTACGTTATTTTAAAGTGAAACTTAGTAAATAATTAATTATACACATCCATAATATGCAATATGTTATACTTATTATGTTTGTTTGTAACTTCTGTTTAGATATATCCATCAACTTATTAATAAATAGTAAAATAAATTTAAAAGATTAAATATTATCCTGTCCCTTTCTAACAAATTACAAAATTTATTAGAGAAGAAAGGATGGAATAGTGTAATACATAAAATATGTTTGTATTATATAAATTGAAATGTCTCGTAAAATCGAAATATTAATAAGAAAGTTATTGAATGAATGAGTTAGTGGATGAATGAATTTATGATATAAGTATTTTGTAAACTAATTAAAATTGTTTAAATAAACTAAATTAAAAAATAAATTAATATTCTGTCACTTTCTGTCAAATTATAATATAAAAAAAAATATTCAAGAAGAATACATAAAATATGTTTATAAAACGTGATATGTCTCAAAAAAGTATATTCAAATTATTAATTTCAAAATTATTGAATGAATGAAGGAACGAATGAATTTATGATATAAGTATTTTTATTACATACCTGTATAAGCTCTATAAGAATGCAATAATATGAATATTATATATATAAAATAATACATACAATGAAGCTAACGGAAATAATATCTTTTTCCGTTAATGGCATAATTATATAATCATAGGATGTATAATATGCACCAGCTGTGCTCGCGGTTACACCTGCTTCAAATTTATAGCCTAGTAGCAGACCCGGCCTCGCGTTGCTGTAGCTAAGGCCTCTTCAAATGGTCACTTAACTTACTGTAAATGTATTTCGGATTATCATACCTTTTCCATTATATATATGTAACTAAGAAATAGAAAATAAACAGCTAAAACAGTTTTGATGACGTCAACACTGCCAATAATTTAGTTATTTATATAATTTTCCGTTAATCATATAATTCAATTTAAGGGAAATGCATTACGGAGCTTGGGACTTTGTGGCGCTGTATTGTCCTGAAATATTATTATTGTTATATATATAATTTTGAATATAAGATAAAATGTATAACAATATAAAAATTAGATATATATATAAATATAATAGCTGTATAAGGCACCTTTCATTGGGATTATGCTGTGTGAATTGTCCTGAGATATTATTATTATATATAATTTTTAATATAAGATAAAAGGTGTAACAATATAAAAATTAATTAGATATATAAATATTATAATTGTTTACAATAAATGGCACCTTTCGTTAAATATATAATTTTTAAATAACGAAAAAGATACAACGAAATGAAAGTTCAGTTTTCTTTATATTTTCGTTGTGTTTCAGATTGTTGTACATTTTTCGTTATACGATACACTAGCTGTGCCCGCGGTTTCTTCCGCGTATTATAGCCTATGTGTTAATCTAATGTATAAGCTATATTACTGTAAAGTTTCATTAAAATCCATTCAGTAGTTTCTGCGTGAAAGTGTAACAAGCATCCATTCACAAACTTCCGCGTTTATAATATTAGTAAAAAGTATTTTTAAATTGGTATTTGTTTAGGGACGTGGATTCAATCGTGAAAATCTCTGTAAGTTTTAGTCTGCGTTCAACGAAATTATTTCCACAAACGCCTTTGTACTGATAAATGAAATTAAGTATAGGGTTATAGATATAGATTAAGTATAAGGTTCCTTTTTGAATAAGATGTTAGGTAGTTATTACTTTCTTTATTCATGGTATCTAATTGTACTATAGTATTTCTTTTTAAATATAGGCTTTATATTTTAATAATTAAGAAACTAAATAGAAGTTGAGGTATTTGGTTTATATTGTAAATAATAACTTGACTTTAATAGTCATGACTCTAAGAGCGAGCGAGATGGAAGACATCGGAGATGATAAAATGTAATCATTAAATATATCTTTATAAATGAGATTATGGTAGCAATCTCTATATAATTAAAATAAACAGTCTTTACACTTAAAAAATATGTTTGTAATTAATTTCATATTCATTTTACAGTGTTGCCATAAACAATATTGTTATCGGTAATTGTAACAATTATGACTTGTAAAATGGTAATGTTTTGTTACAAAGAGCAGTAAAATATAGTAATAAAAAAAACAAATTTTAAGTATTTAAGTTATAGTGTATTTTATTTAAATACATAATATGAAATTTAAAGATGTTACTAAAAATTGTATTTTGATTCAGTTTAAGTAAAATAGATCAGGGTAAGGTACAAATTGGAGTTTTGTTAGAAAAGATGTAGAGATATTAAAATGTGGCAACACTGATACAGTATCAACGATATGACGATCAGGCAAACCTTTCTAACTCTATCTATGCTTTGCTAAAAATCATTGTATGAAGTTATATGAGATTATATGTCACTAAACTAAACTTAGTGAAAAGTGATCTGCGTGTGTACCTCAGTTTCACCTATTTCAGCCAAGCAGCTTGTTTTGTAAGATGTTTCGGTTGTAGGGTGCAGATTAGGTAGTGAAATTACAGGATAAGAGGCGTGACATCTTAGTACTCTGGAATGGCAACTCATGAGTAGTATCACGGGTGTCACATGATAACGTGATGTCCGTAGTGCTGTTCATGTATATAGGCGACGGTTACCACTTACCATCAGCTTGTTTGCAATAACTGGGTTTGTTACAACGTGTTGTTTATACACCAGGTCAATGGTGCGCGTTTATTATTAAAAACTCGTTAATTTAACTCGTTAACTAGTTGGAATTTTTTTGAGTAAACGATGGAGGCCCGGAGATTGACTTTTAATGAAATGTTGGTCTCGATCGGTCAAGCCATTTCTGGGGAGTATCGTTACAAAGTCTGATCTCTAAGATAACTCCTTGCTTCGCTCAAAAAGTTAATTATATTTAGAACTAGCTGCACCCGCGACTTCGTCCGCATGGAATTTAACTTTATTTTTCTAAAATAAAAGTAGCTTAAGTTACTCCTGATTACATCAGCCATCTACCAAAAAGTCCCGTCAAAATCGGTCCAGCCATTTCAAAGATTAGCCGGAACAAACAGACAGACAGACAAAAATTGTAAAAAATGTTATTTTGGTGTATGTACCGTATTTATATTCATATGCATGTAAAAAACGGTTATTTCAATATTACAAACAGACTCTTCAATATTATTTATATGTATAGATAAAGAATCTGTTTGTCTGTCAGCGGAATTTAACAGTCGTGTAAATTGTATAATGTATGACCAATTTATCATAGATCGATAATGTTCATGTAATAAATATAAATATAAGATTTTCTACAATCACGCTTAATATAAGCATAGTTACATACAATCATCGCTAGATAGTTTTAGATTATATAAATCGAGAAATACATTTTTTTTTTACAATAAATTTAGTCGTTTTATTTTTAAACTTAAAGGTACCTGTTCTGGCGATAATTTTATATTTACTTTTAGGAACGATGGATAGCCCAGTCTTAACTGTGTTAGATATATATTCTGTCAGGAGAAATTTTCTTGAGGTCGAGGGTTTAGCCTGACAAATTAAAAATCTATCTACAGCTATTTTATTAAGTCCTGCAGCTCAGTTTTGCGGTCATTTGGAGGACAAGGCTAAAATAGCCTCAAAAAAGCTTGGTGTGCTCAGTAGAGTGAGACGGTATTTCACGGCGGCCCATCGCTTGCAATTATACAAGATGCAGATCCGGCCGCACATGGAATACTGTTCTCATCTCTAGGCAGGAGCACCTCAATACCAGCTACTTCCATTTGACCGCATTCAGAACCGAGCAGCCAGAATCATAGGTAATCAACGTCTATGTGACAGACTCGACTCATTGGCTTTGTGGCGTGATATTGCATCTCTGTGCATTTTCTACCGCATATATCACGGGGAGTGTTCTGAGGAATTGTTCGGATTAATACCAGCTGCTGAGTTTCACCACCGTACCACCCGCCAGAAACTGAAATATCCTGATCATCTCGATGAATGGCGGTCCTCCACAGTGCGGTTTTCTAGAAACTTTTTGTCTCGCACAACCACATTGTGGAATCACCGTCCAGCAATGATATTTCCGAACCGATACGATATTGAAACCTTCAAGAAAAGAGCTTATTCCTTTTTAAAAGGCCGACAACGTACTTGCAATTCCCCTGGTGTTGCGGGTGCTCATTGGCGGCGGTAATCACCATCAGGTGAGCCGAATGCACGTTTGTCTCCTGTGTTATATAAAAAAAAAAGCTCTTACCGCTGATGTTCTCCGGTTTTCTAATTGAAATTTCAGGGTGCCATTTGCCTGCTCTGACCAACTCACCCTACTGGTTTTCCGCACGTAGGTAGGTCCGTACCATTCCTCAAAAATACAAAATTAGACTCGGACGGGGTGAGATGGGGTATCCCATATACCATATTGCCCCTTCTGGTATTAATTTTATAAAAAAATAATAAAAAATAGGAATAATAAATTGAAGCGGTCGAAATAATCTGACCTTACTTTATGTTTTTTTACTCTTCCAAAAAAAATAGCAATAACAACCACTCATCAATTTAATATTTTTTTCATGTAGTTAACAACAATTGAATATAATAAGTAAACTGGTCAAAACTAGTTTTTTCGCTCAAACATCTAAACGCGACGTCTCACTGCGGTGGTTCTCAGGCAACTGAGGGGGTCAAGTAATAGCTTATTACTGGTATTATTGTTTTAACTGAGGTTCGTTTGGTTTTCTCTGTAAGGGGGGTACCCCGTCTTGCCCCTCCCCTTCAATAGGATAATAATTGAATAGGTATGTGGCGAATTAATTATAATCGCGCGGCAACACCGTTGCCTAGTTACGACAGAAGAATAAAATAACAGGCCTGTCATTCGAGACCAATTCACTTTCTTGTACATACCTATATATATTCATTGTAAATATTTCGTAATTATAAATATGTACATAACAACAATCTGGACTCCTCATTTCACCTCCTTCTTTCCCGCTGCTGCTACAAGAACACAACATAAACACAAATAATAGCGGTAACAATATAGACGCTAAAGGTACCTAATAAAATAAATTTAAAGAAAGTTCGGTAGCATCAGTCAATAGGTAGGTATGGATACCGTGAGTGCTGTGTGTCGCGCTCTTTGTACAATCTAGTGAGGGTAGTTGAACAAACCGCTGACACATACCGACGTTGACATCGCTATACTCCAGTCGGCTAGTGACCACGGCCAGTGCAACATCTACTAGAAACGTCCAGAGAGGTAATAGTTATCTTGTATGTCCTAATATTCTTCTAGACTAGTCTAGATTATACTGAGGCCGATGTCAAATTAACATGCATAAATGAATTAATATTTTATTAATAAATAATTGCCTATGGTCATTTTGTAAATATAATATTCCGTATAGACCATAATAATAATATCTCGGGACAATTCACAAAGTATTTTCTTGTCCCAGTCTATGAAGAGTTTGTGTTATGGGTAGGTACTCGACAACTAACTATAAATATTTACATAGATATATCTTCTTAAATATATATAACTCAAAGGTGACTGACATAGTGATCTATCAACGCACAGCCCAAACCACTGGACGGATCAGGCTGAAATTTGGCATGCAGGCAGATGTTATGTCGTAAGCATCCGCTAAGAAAGGATTTTGATTAATTCTACCCCCAAGGGGATAAAATAGGGGATGAAAGTTTGTATGAAACTGTCAATTTTAATCCGATCGGGCTGAGATTTTGCATGCATAAACCTACTATGACGTCGTGTTAAATTCCTGGTGAATCTGTCACAATGGGCTAACTGACCTGACCTCATGCTCATCTTATCATGGTGCATGGTGGTGCTGGTGCCCCGCCAGCGTAAACCGTTAGCGCAGGAGGGTGCACCATTCCATTATCATCCACAAAAAAAAAACCTACTATGACGTAGGCATTCTCTAAGAATGGATTTTGATGAATTCCACCCCTAAGGGGATAAAATAACGCGAGCGAAGCCGCGGGCAAAAGCTAGTTTTTTATAAATACGTACATAATGTACCTACATAGAAAACAGCCAGACGCGCGACCATCGGAATTAAGGCGGTGCCGCTACACTACAGAAGCTATCAAATGATATCTATATAATTATTTTATAAGAATAGAGATAGGTAGGTATCTAAATTTTGACAAATGTCTGTTTCATATTATATAAATGAGAAAATGTGTGTACAAAGATATAAAAAACCATATCCAACGTAGGTACCTACCACATTTTACGTAATAAATATTCATATCATTGAATTCCTTTCATAATTTAAAATTATATCTAGATATATATTTTGTATGTTTTTGTTATTATTAGACATTATCAAATGAATAAACAAACAACCGTTTCGAAATTAAGTACTTTTGTTTCTGTTTATAATATTAAAAAAAAAACAAACTATACCTAGATTTTAAAATGTGAAATGTATCTTGATCTACTTGATTACACTTGGCAAATGCAGCCCAAGAGCATCGCAGAACAAATGTGACCCAGTGTGACAACGACGTAGAGGCAATTAATTTCAAAGTAGGTACCTATCTTTAAAAATAAAAACAAAATATCATTCGCTAATCATATACTTAATTAAATCATTATTTACATTATCACACAATTATTATTTTAATATTATAGTAATCAATATTATTATTATTGTCCAATTATCATCATTTCTTACTCTTCGGATTCATTTTTGGCGGTTTTATAATCGAACCTATACTTTTTCTTTTCATCATGGCCGCTCGCTTTTTGGCGGGAGTTTTCATCTCTTTCGCCATCTTGGATTCAGGCTTCTTTTGTGTTTTCGTCTGTTTAACTTCTTTCGACGTAGCTTTTTTTGTCGTTTCGGTCTTTTTAACAGTTGCAACTTTTTTCTTTTCTTCCTTATTCGTTTCCATCGATTTCTTTTTAGTTTTCGGTTTTTCTTCGGGATTTTCTTTGTCGCTTTTGTTTTTCGGTACCGTCTTTTTCTTTTTCGGTTTCTTTTCTGCTTTCTTCACGATTGCCAGCTTGAAGGATCCGCTGGCACCGATACCTTTCGTCTGAATGATGGTACCCGTTTCCACTCCTGTCTTGATCAATTTCTTGATAATGTAACCAAGTTTTTCGGTGTCGACATTATATTTTTCCGTTATATATTTCTTGATTGCGTATAGTGATGTTCCTTTTCTATTCTTCAATTCATTTAACGCTTCATGTATCATAACCTTTGTACTTATCTTCTTTTGATCTTGAGTGCCTTGTGTAATGACTTCTGGCGCGCTTTTGTTTGATTTTGGCGGTTTTTTCGTTTTGTTCGGCAAATTTGTTAGCAACTCCATGTCAGAACCGTCCGACATGACTTGTAGAATCGTATTATTGTGGGTGACGAGCAAATGTTTGAAAATTTTATTTTAAACACTTAAGTGAATTACAGCAATACTTTATAGAGAACCGATATCCTCTGTCTGTAATGTTTTTAAAAGTAACTACTTAGGTGTTTTTTTTTTATTGATTATAATGGAATGGTTCATGCGAATGAGGTCTGGTCAGTTGACCAATTGTGGCACTATGTTTTCCAGAGGATATCGCGTGGACAAATCAATATGACATGGTACATTGCTAGCAATAGGGTCATTAGTCCACATTACTGGGGGGGAAAGGGGATTGTTAGTAATGTGGATTGATGATCTCATTGCTAGCAATATATGGTATATTCAGGTCAGGTTGACCTCCACGCAGTTCCCCCTGGTAACCATCGTGATAAATTCCTCATTAATTTGTCACGATGGGCTAACTGACCTGACCTCATGCTCATCTTATCACCCATAAAAGGTAATAAAGGTATTTACTTCTCTCGACGTTTCGACTAGGTTGCACTAGCAGTGGTCACGAGCTGACTGTAGTAACAGCGATGTCAGTAGGTCTCGGCGGTTTTTTTTTATTAGATGGCCGTAATTTCCAATAAAAATTTAAGTCAATTTTTTTTTTTATTTTACTAGCTGTAAAGTCGTTTCCGTGTGTATTCAAGTCACATTTATTTTAGGGATGATTAGGGAATGGTGCACCCGATGTAACAGTTTACACTGGCGGGGCACCAGTGGAGGATGATAAGACGAGTGTTGAGGCGACAGTGGAACATGATAACAACGTATCTACTTGCAATTCCCCTGGTGTTGCGGGTGCTCATGGACGGCAGTGATCACTTACCATCAGGTGAGTCGCATGCTTGTTTGTCCCCTGTGTTGACAAAAATGACAAGAGAGTCCTAAGGTTACGTCAGTTAGCCCATCATGACAAACAGGAATTTATCACGATGGTTTAAGGGGAGGTGAAGGTCAAACTGACATGGTATATTGCTAGTAATGGGATTATTATTACGCATTTCCCCTCTAGACTCATATATTTCAGCCGCCAAGCAGCTTGCTTTGTAAGCTATGTTTCGGTACTTTTATCTATGCATCTATAGATACATATAAATAAAAATGTATATTTAAGTAAAAGTGTCTATTTGTAATATTGAAATAACCGTTTTTTACTACATGCATATGAATATAAATACGGTACATACATCAAAACGATTTTTTTTACAATTTTTGTCTGTCTGTCTGTTTCTTCCGGCTAATATTTGAAATGGCTGGACCGAAATCGACGGGACTTTTTTTGGCAGGTAGCGGATGTAATAAGGAGTACCTACCTAACTTAGGCTACTTTTATTTTAGAGAAATAAAGTGAAATTCCACGCAAAGTCGCGGGAACAGCTAGTTTACCATAAAAATATTCGTATTAAAACGGTTATCATGTATTGATATATAAATGATGTTAACTAAACACGAAAATTTAAAAATAAATATTCCAACCAATCATATTCCAGAATCATAACCACTCACGATTGGTCAAATCATGATATACAGCAGTCGTTACGACGTACTAGGTTGCGAGTAGGAAAGTCACACGGACATAAGACATCGGTCGACCGCTCTAATCGAACCTCGTACACATATCGCGCAATCAACCGGGCGCCTGCGCGCGCACGGGCGCTCCACACCGACGCCCCCGGTCACCCCTTCGATCGATCTTCCGTCCAATTCAACGGGGGTCGATGTTACGACGGCCTGAACCGAGGTTCGAACCCATAGTGATGCCCTCAGACTAAAGTCGTATCCGTCAGGCGGGAGTTGGCCTTCAGACGCTCTATATGTCCTCCCGCGGGTTTGGAGTTCCATCTGCACTCGCCCCCTATCGTTCGATGAAGCTGTAAAGGCCAGCTACGGCCAACAGCATTAGAGTAGTCTGAAAAAAAAAGATCTAATCGATCGCCCGTCCGAAATTTATTTTTATTTACTATGTGTTGCTCTTTTTAGTAGATGTTTTTTTTTTATATAAATAATTACAGTGTAACAAGTAAGAGGCATGCGACAATCAACATAGAAATCGCTACGCACTCATTATTAGTGTAATCAGATAATATTGTCAGTGCTATGTATTTAAAAATTTTCTACAAAAACATTATTATCGTTAACGAATTCTTCAATTTTATAGTAAGCTTTTTTGCAAAGGAAGTGTTTTATTTGACATTTAAATCTTTTTTCTGGCAGATTTATAACAGACTCTGGTATTTTATTGTAAAACCTTACGCAATTGCCATAAAACGAATTACTAACTTTAGCCAAACGACATTTAGGTAAAATCAGTTTGTTATTGTTACGTAAGCTTTTATTAGTGCAATCACTAACTCTTTTGAAACTGTCTATATTCTTCCTGGCATATATGATATTTTCATAAATATATTGAGAAGCAACGGTGAGGATATTTGATTCCTTAAAGCACTCTCGCAAAGACTCCCTGGAACCCATGCTATAAATGGAGCGAATATGATCTTACATGATATGTTGATCAGCAATATGGACCACATAGGCATGCAAATTCAATTAAATACCGATTCAGACGGAGATCGAAATTACGACGGCCTGAGCCGAGGTTTCAACCCATAGCGGTGCCCTCAGACTAGTCCTATCCGTCAGGCGGGAGTTGTCCTGCAACCGCTCCATAAGTCCGACCTTTGGTTTGGAGTGCCATCTGCATATCGCCCCTATCGTCCGGTGAAGCTGTAAAGCCAGCTGCGGACAACAGCATTAGAGTAGTCCGAAAAAAATCGGTTATCAAGCGGTATTCCAATGGTCGGGGGTTCAATTCCTTGCGCAGTACAAATATTTGTACTCGTGAGTATGATTGTTTATATTGGCCTGGGTGTTTTCTATGCACATATTTACAAACATAATATAGAATAGAATAGAATAGAATAGAAAATCATTTATTCAAATAAACTTAATTTAAGCACTTTTGAATAGTCATAACAATTTGTTTTTTATCTACCACTCGTTCGGAAAGCTGTCTCATCACAAGAAGAACGAGCAAGAAACTTGTGTGTTGCTCTTTTAAATAATCCTTGTAAGTTTACATTTACAAGTCGAAACGTGTGAATACAAACTACCAACAAGCACTAATTTTTTGGGTCAAATATAATCATGCAATAAGATTAAATCAGTCGTAGTGATAAGAGCAGACCAGTCCCTACAAGCAGCACTCGTTCACGAGTATGACGGATGAGCCAGCCATCACTGCGCTCGACCATATTTTAGGGAGCCCATTGACCCGGCCCACCACGCCGCCACATGTCTGGACATTTTAGTGAGCATGACTACTCATTCCACACGACCACGTCACAGCTACAAAAATTACTATATGGTAGTTACAGTATTCGCACTTTACATAAGGATGCATGCGGCAATCAATACAAAAGCCGCTACGCTATCATATATCAAGAAAGCAGTATGAAAATTAAAATTATAATGTTGTCCGCAAATAAACTTATTCTTGCTATATATTGCTATCATCTATAAATTCATCTATCTTATAATAGGCTTTTTTACATAACATTTGTTTAATATAAGATTTGAATTGCCTCTCTGTAAGATTTAGCGTAGACTCTGGCAGTTTATTATAGAATCTTACGCAATTACCATAAAATGAATTACTAACTTTGTGTAGACGGCATTTCGGTAAAATTAGCTTATTTTTATTGCGTAAGTTTCTACTTGTACAGTCTTTAAGTTTCTTGAAACTATCTAAGTTTTTCCTTGTATACATAATATTTTCATAAATGTACTGTGAGGCAACGGTGAGGATATTTGATTGTTTAAAGCATTGACGTAATGACTCTCTAGAACCCATACCATAAATAGAACGTATGGCTCTCTTTTGTAAAATAAATATAGTATTTATATCGGCAGCTTTACCCCATAGCAGTATGCCATATGACATAATGCTATGGAAATAACTAAAATATACAAGTTTTGCCGTCGCCACGTCTGTTAATTGCCTTATCCTTCTAATTGCATAAGCAGCAGAACTAAGTCTACTGGCTAATTTTGAAATATGGGGCCCCCATTGTAACTTCGAGTCCACTGTTATTCCTAAAAAAACGGTATCATTAACAAAATTTACTATTTCATCATTAAGCAATAGCTGCGTATTTACTTGTTTTACATTAGGCAGCGTGAATTTAATGCACTTAGTTTTGTTGGAGTTCAATAATAGATTATTACATGTGAACCAATTTAGTATAGCAGAGATAGCATAATTTACATCGTCTAATTGATTACATTGGCGACCAATTTTAAACACTAACGAAGTATCATCCGCAAATAACACTATGTCTGCAACTTTCTCTACCATGTAGGGAAGGTCATTTATATAAATTAAAAAGAGAAATGGGCCTAATATTGAACCTTGAGGAACGCCCATTTTTATATTAGTTCCTTTAGACTTTACACCATCAATATCTACAGTTTGCACCCTATCCTCTAGATAAGTTTTCATTAGACTTAGGTCATTATCTCTAATACCATAGTGTTTGAGCTTGTACAAAAGTGTTTCATGATCTACGCAATCAAACGCCTTCGACAAGTCACAAAAAACGCCGAGAGCATCCTGTGATTTTTCCCATGATTCGAATATATGTGTAATAAGCGCTACACCTGCATCAGTAGTAGACTTGCCGGCAGTGAAACCATATTGCTGACTGTGAAGCAGTCCGTTATCCCTGAAGTATTTTAACATTTGGTTAAACATAATCTTTTCAAATACTTTACTTAGAACTGGCAAAATAGAAATTGGTCTATAGTTGCCTAGCTCAAATCTATCTCCAGATTTAAAGAGTGGAATTAATTTGCTAAATTTCATTAATTGAGGAAACACGCCATTATCAACACATTTATTGAAAATAGTAGCTAGATAAGGAGCAACAATATCTATGAATGAACTAACTACTTTAACTGACATGTCCCAGAGATCTTCC